CCACCGGAGCGATCCCCGGGACTCGGAGCCACCGGAGCCATCCCGGGGACTCGGGGCCACCGGGGCAGCCTGGGCTCGGGGAGGTGTCCCTGCCCATGGGAACTGGATGTGCTTCAAGGTTCTTTCCAACCTAAACCGGTCTGGGATTCCATGTCTCCATAACCCGGACACAAACCAGGGGTTTAGTCTTAAGAACGTGGACTAAGGCGGTAACACAAAAAACCCAACAAACCCACCAAGAAATCATTCACTTTGTTTATTTTGTGCATCGGGTTTATAAATTACTCCCTTTAATGCAGGATCTGCTGGGAAGGTGATTGGAGAAGTGGTGAGTGAAGGTGAATTTGCTCACAGCTGGCGGGAGGGTGAGACACAGCAGGACCTGCTGCAGTTTGTGCTGGGCGTGCCGAGGTCGGCTCCTCGCAGGGGCTCAGTGGATGGAAGGCTCCAAACACTGTCCAGCACACATCTCCTACAACAAACACAAGGCAGGGGTTAGGCAGAGCTCCCTGCAGAGCCACAGCAGCCAACAGGGGATTTCAAAGCCTCCAGAACTAGGGCCAGGAGTTTGTGGCACAGGAGCTGGTCCAGGCCCAGCAGATGCAGCCAAGCAGGTCTGGAGCCCCTCTGGAAGGAATCAGAGGCCACCACAGTCACATCCTCCTTCCCCATCCCTCTTCCCATAGGGCTGACACACAAAGCTCTTTCTCCAAAACAGAGAACACACATAGTTGGCTGAGGAATGGATCCGTGTTCCCATTACTGCCCATGGCAATCTTTCAGCAAAGAAAGCCCTTACGAGGTGATTTAATTGCCTCTATGTAAATTGAGAACTTTTCCACTTGAGAACCTTTCCCCTTCCAGGCCGGACAGGGCTTGGAGCCACCTGGGCTAGTGGGAGGTGTCGCTGCCCACAGCAGGGAGTGGGATGAGATGAGCTCCAAGGTCCTTCCAACCCAAACCAGGCTGTGATTTTATTACTTAAGCCAAGAGATGCACAAACAAAACTCACCGTTAGAGGGAAGCTCAGTCTTCAGTCTTGTACTTGCCACCGATGTACGGAACATACTGCAGGACCAACTTCCAGTCTGTGGCCCAGATGACACCGACACCGGCCACGGTGCCCCATGTCACCAGGGTGGGAGTCCTACAGAACACACACTGCAGGTGAGCAACATTCCTGATCCACTGGGAATGGCCTGGCAGGTGCTCATGGCTAAGGCACTAGAGAAGGTCATTTCAATCAGGAAAAGAGCCTAGAATCCTGGAATGTCCAGAGCTGGAAGGGACCCCCAAGGATCACCAGGCCAACTCCTGCCCGGGACACCCCAGCACTGCACCCTGTGCCTGAGAGCATTGGCCAAACACTCCTGGAGCTCTGTCAGCCTTGGGGCTGTGACCACTGCCCTGGGGAGCTGTTCAGTGCCCAAACACCTCTGGGGGAAGAACCTTTCCCAATATCCATCCCAACCCCCTGACACAGCTCCAGATGCTCCCTCAGGTCTGTCCCTGGTCCCAGAGAGCAGAGCTCAGAGCTGCCCCTCAGGCGTAGCTGCAGACCCTGAGGAGTCTCCCTCTGCTCCAGGGGAACAGGCCAAGGTCCTCAGCCTCTCCTCAGACCCTTCCCCAGCTCTGTGTCCCTACTTTGGATGCTCCCCAACAGCTTTAGATCCTCCTGACATCGTGGCACCCAAACTGCTCACAGCTATATTGCACCAACCTCACAGACACAGAACAGAATGAGTCCCCAGGCAGACAAGATATCTCCCACCCAGAGGGCAATACTTATACTTAACCAAGGACACTGCTCAGCCAAGAGAAGCCGCAGCTACAGACACGCACAGCTCCTCGCGCTGGAGCGCAGCGTCCAGAGCTCCTGAAACGGCCACTGCCTGGCGGGCAGGGAGCCCAGCTCTGCCCTGTGCTGCTCCCC